GCTGCTTCCAACCCTCCCGCGTCTCACCCAGTCCTCGGCAAGCGGCGCGCGATTGATGTTCGTGCCGATGCTTCGACAGGCACACCGGGGGACAGCTCGGCGTCGCTCGATGAGGCTCATCGGTCCCTTATTCTTGTCTTCACGGACCGTTTCATGGCGCAGGCTCTGGAACGAGCGGTTCACGACATCATCTCCATGGGCCTGAGTCCGATTCGCATCCGTGCTTGCGACCTCCAAAAGAAAGTGACGTTGGACTTTCCATCCCCTGCCATGGCGTCTAAATTTTCTGAACATTGTTGGAAGCTCAGCGAAGCGCACTAGATAACCAATGCTCAGGGCCCTGCAGACGTGTGTCCGTTTCGCGTCCGTCGCAATATTTTTCCCCGGGCCGATTTCTTTTACAAAAAGATGGGTAGTTATTTCCGTCGCGCTGTCCAGGAATAACCAAATAACCGAGGTCCCTAGGCGAATTCGAAAGGTACCGGTGGGGATGAAGTCGGGATGCGCTCCGGAGAGGACCCACCCCGCTGTTTCATGTCACCTGCTGCCCGCTGAATTTCAAGGTCCGTCACATGTCCAAGGACAATGCAGACGGCCGTGCGCTGGGTCTAGAGCAGTTCATTCAGAAATCGAAGGATGTGTGAAAACGTTTCCTTCGCGTCAGAGGCTTCCACCTGTGTCAGTTTTGATAGTTGCTCGGGCACAGAGTCAGGTGGGCCCAGTTGCGCCTCTCACGATGCCTCTTTCTCTGCTCTCACGTGGACACTTGGGGGCTCTTCGCCGCCATCGCCTCATCTTCCTTGCGTGCACTCTCTTCGGGCCAGCGTTCTCTGTCTGCAAGAAACCCGTGGGGCTGCTGAAAATGCGGGCGCCTTGCGTCGCGACCTCCGTGGAGCGTATCTTGGTTTCTTTGGGTGCGTCTCTGAGATTGCCAGTGGAGTTCTGACCGTCTTGTCCGCCCCTGTCTGCCCCCTCTTCAAGGACATTCATTCGACCCTGTGTTATCAATCCTGGGAGAGATCTCCGATTGAAATGCACTGGTCCACGCGGGTCTCTGGGTGCGCGACGTTCGCCTCCCTACTTCTGGTTGGCCTACCCGGACTCTCTGTCGTCTTCGACGGCGCGCCGCAGAGGCGCTCGAAGACGTGGGGAATGCTCAGGCTCTCTGGGGCATGGTGGGAGGCAGTGCGGCGATGGCCCTGGGCGGCGTCTTGGGGGCCTGCGCGACCGTGGCCCGTTCGTTCGGGGGCCCCCTCGCTGGGTTGAAAGCCGCTGGCCTGGCCAAACTCGGCGGGCGATTCGAGGCGGGGCGCCGTTGCATGCGAGCCGCCCAGACCGTCTCTACCTCGCCGAGCCCGCCGCCGTCGTTTTTGACTTCTGTCGCACGCCCCGTCATCAGGGAGGCCATTCTCATGGGGGGCGTCTGACTATATGCCAGTAGTTGCCCCCGTCCGCGAGCATTGGTCATCTGAGTTCCTGGGGCCCCTTCCCGACTGGCGCCGCGCGGTGAACAGCTCGCTCTGGCGAAGAAATGCGCGTTGGAGGCTTGCGCCCAAACGGAGAGACGGATGGCTCATGCGTTGACCGCGTAGGTCCACGATAAGACGCACTGTGCGATTTCGGCATTGCGGGGAGTTCGGGCTCGGAATGTCGAGAGAGTCTCTCAAGCTTTTCGACGCTGCCCTCTGCTCGCTCGCTTCTTTGACCTTGGCGCTGGCTTCCGCAGCTCCCCGAGCCTCTGCGACCGCGCCCAGTCTTTGCAGGACGATTGCACCGATGAGCTGGAACATGGGGCTAATCAGGAGTCCGAGGCCGAGGTGAAGGCTGAGCTACGAGCCAGGATCCAGAGGCGCAGAGAGCAATGGCGCCCATGGAACAAGGGGATTCAATTGGGCTCGATCCTGGACCCCTTGCGGGCCCCCTGCCCGCCCCGGGGCGATGGCGGGGGGGTGGGCCTTGCGCGGCGCCGGGAAGGAACGCGTGGATCTCGCGTCTTCGATGGAAGCTGCTGGCCCCGCCTCGAGGACCGCGTGGCTGGCGTATCGGGGATCGCGGATGATCTGTGGCTCATGGGCTTTGACGGTTTTTGCGCGCGCTCCTCTTCGCGCGCTCCTCTTCGCTCTTGCGCCGCGTCCGCGCGCCCGATGGCCGACGCCTGGGCCCCCGCGACTGATCCCGGGCCATGCAGGTAGTCTGTGGTTCGGGCGGGATGCGATTTTGGAGTTGCCATTCCTTGCCCCTGCTTGAAAATTTGATGCTGGCATGGCGCTTCGCATGGATGTGGGGGCATGCGTGCTGGTTCACCTCGGTCCTGCCTGGCCCCCCCAGCGCGCGCCGGCATGCGCGGCGTCTCTCGGAGTCGCTTGCGCGGGCGAGCGCTGGGAATATCAAAATCGTTCGCCGCGCGAGATTTAGGCGCCCAGATCGGGCCTGATGGGCGGGGAGTTGCCTGGGACGCTGCCGTGCGGAAGCGCGGGCAGCGCCGCGTTGGGGGTCGAAGGCCCCGCCCCAGACTTGATATGACCACCCACTCATGCGCGGCGCGCGCCGTCTCCTCTCCGGCACGTGATGCAGTTCTACCTGATCCGAAGGAGGTTGTTAGAGTGGGCGGTAATGTTCATTGGAGACAAATGGCTGGTCCCTGGTTCTCCTCTAACCGTGCGATGCGCACGCAGCTCTGTGACCTGGGGCTGGGGTTCGAGTTCCCTGGTCTTGTTCATAGCGGGGTTGCTACGCGGGTGCGTCTTGCGCGCATCTCGGCTGCCCTGTCGAAAGTTAGTTTCCCTCTCGGGCGCTTGGTTTCGCAGGGTGACGTTCGCCCCTGGCGCGCGTGGCCTCCCTGGTGGCAGCGCTCTTTCGCGCGTTCTACTGTCGCGCCTCGGTGGCCCAACATTCCCCTCTGCGCGGCTTTCCCACGGGCGCGCGGGTTCCAGCTGGAGCTGCGTCGTCGCCGAGGGCGCGACCCTCCCCCCCATCGCCCCCTTCCCACGTATCCCGGCGCGCGTCGCCCGCTGGTTTCCTGGGGCGCGCGCCTCGTCAAGTTTCCAGGGTCGTTCAGGTGGCCCGCGAGGTTGTTAAATGTAGCAGCCGTTATCTGGGACTGGCTGTCCTCCGTATTCTCGCTCGAGGTGTCTGTGCCAGTGCTCGCTTTCACCGCGGTCCTGTCAGACGCCACTGGAACTGCGGAGTGAAGGGTGCCGTGGGTTCTCTGGGGCATCATGGGGTGGGTCCTGAGTTTCTACGCCCGGGTTTAGCTCTCGCCCCCTGCATCGCCCAGTTCTTTAGCAAATTATCCAGGGTCCAACTTTTGACAGCACGCCCCCGCCACCGAGCCAGAATCAACGTTAGATCTGTGCCGGTGTCCAAAGTGGTTCCATTTTGTTCAGGCCAGCTTTCTGGGGGGCTCCACGCTGCCACTTTCTGATTTCCGTAGATTGCAGTGCGGGCGTCGCCCGAGAATTCAGGCCGCGTGGTCAAGGGGCCACGACTGACAGGTGGCTGTTGGCCCATCCTGTTCCTCCTTTTTTTTCCTCGGGTCGTTTGCGTCGCAGCCGTCAATTTGGAGACTCTGAAGGATATGCCCGCCGATCATCTTTTGGTGGCTGGGCATATGCTCGCAATTAGACTTTGGGCATCATTGCCAGTGCGACCGCGCGGTTTCTGTCCACCCTGCGCGCCGCAGGTTTCGAATGCTGTGCTATGGGCTTCCTGCTGTGTTCGGGCCTTCGTTTTCGTTTCCGCTCTCGTTGTGCCCTGCGTTCGCTCCCCTACTGTTGTTGCTTGCTCCCCGGTGTTGCTGCTGCTGCTGCTGCTGCTGCTTTGCGCCCTCTCCTGCATCTTCCTCTTCTGCTGCTCCGCTGTGCGGGTGCCGCTGCCTGCGCGGTGTGGCCTTCGGGTGGGCCTTCTGCCTGGCATGGCCCTTTGTCTGCCCGATTTCGGGCGTGGGTGCGTCGCTCTCTGGCGTTGCTGCCCGTCTTCCGTTCCTGTACCTGCATCTCTGCACCCACCTGCTGTGTTGCTCTCCCTGCGCCGCGGCCCCGTGGCAGCGGCGCCTGTTCCTCGACGACGGGTTCCGCGAAGACCTCTCTCTCTCTCTCTCCCGTCTTTTGCTGTCTGCTTGTCCAAGTACTGGCGGCCCGGATTAGTAGGTCGACCCTGCCAGTTCAAGGGTACCCTTTGTGTCCTGTGCCTCGCGGCGCGTGCCTTCTTACACTCCTCTGGCAATGTGGCCCTCGGAAGGGTCTTGTGTCCTCTCGCGTGTCCTGTTCAATCAAGGCCGACTGTAGGTGAGCAGTCTTCCGCGGTGGGTCGTCGGCCTTCTGGCGCCCGGGGGGTCGTGACACAGGTGCTGGCGTTCTGGGGCCGCGCAGAGCCACCGCTTGTTTGCGCGATTGCCTCCGCGCCGCAGGTTTCCGACGATGCAGTACAGTCGGCCCGGGTTAGTAGGTCGACCCTCCCAAGTCAAGAGTACCCTTTGTGTCCTGTATCTCGCGACCCATGCCTCCTACATTTATGATGGCAGTGTGGCCCTTGGAGGGGTCTCGTGTCCGCTCGCGCGTCCTGTCCAGTCAAGGCCGACTGTAGGACCGCCGCCCCGCCCCGATCCTTCTCCTCCTCCTCCTCCTCCTCCTCCTCCTCCTCCATCTCCTCCTCCTCCTCCTCCTTCTTCTTCTTCCCACAGCCCTGAGGACCAACGTCTGAGGTGTCCACACATGCATACGTCAGCGTTGAGAATGGCGGCAAGTATAGCGGGGGACGAGGAGAGCAGCAACGTGCACGAGAGGCACAGCCGAATCTCGCCCGCAAGACCTGGCAACACTGCACTCGCCCGAAGGAACGAGTAGCACATGAAACAAGGACCTTAGACGGGAAGCGCAACCCCAACATACATGGGGGCGCCAGCAGCCACGACGAGAAGCGCAACCCAACGGACGACGTGGGGCGCAAGGAATGGCGTATGGGGGCACAAGAATGGATGCACTAATGCAGCTAAGCGCCACTCACTGGTAGACGATCTCAGGACTCCTGGCGGCCGTGTGGCAGTACATTTTGTCGAAGGCTGTCTTGTCACTGAGCAACGGTAGGAAGACAGCGGCCACCCCAGGCTGCCCTTCTTGAGCAGCGAGGTCGTACAGTATCTGGAACACCTGGTCGTTAGCAACTGGGTCCACATGTTGGCATTCGAAAGCGGCCTTTTGGAACGCCATGCCGAGAGACTTTTTCGTATGGGAGCCGATAGGCTCAAGACAAGATGCCTTGACACGAATGGCCTCCGCACCAGTCTTGAAGGCCCAGCGGCCAGCAGCGTCGTCGTAGAAGCTCAGGGTGCCTTCGCGACCATTTAGCAGCGACCTAGCCTTGAGGCCAACAAGGCGCGCGGCCATGCCTGGAACGAATGTGTGCTTCTCGCCGTGCTGCTGAGGAACAATGGCCTTTCCGTGCCGCTGGGGCCTCACCACATCAATATCAGTCTCTTCCTTGGCACAGGGTTCGCTCTCCATCGCCACAGAGCCCGAGCCAGTCGCGCCACCTTCACCAGGAAGCTGCACGCTGGACGACTCATCCTTCTCGTGCGCCAAGACTGGCCCGATGGACTCGGCGTGCGTCTGGCGCTCGGAGCCCTCCTGCACCGCAGTACGCATGTCCGGCGGCGTATCAGAGAAGCCTCCGAAGAAAACCGGAAGGGGCTTCACGACAAGACGGATGTGGGAGTCGCCTTTGGAGTTCTTGTGCCCGTGGTCCACGATACTAGCGCTGTCGATGTCCAGCTGCACCATGTGGAGCAAACTTATCATGAGGCTGTTCCGCATAGTCGGCTGCCAGACGGGGAACAGGCAGATCTGCATGATCAGCTTGTCGCTGTGGCTGCACAGTTTGACAACACCTTGGCGGCCATTCGTTAGCTCCTGGATGATCCAATGGAGCCTGGCTGCTGAGACCATGGCGGCGCGGGGGGCAAGGGGGAGAACAGCGGCTCGCAAGTGCAAGCGAATGGCCCCTCCTCAGGCAGACGCCTGGGCCACAGGGGTTTCCTCCTCCTCCTCCTGCTAGGCGTTGGCTTGGGCCGACGGGGGCTTTTCCCGTCGGTGCGTTTTGCCTTTTCGGCCACGCGCGCCCGCGCCCAGCTCCCTGCCCGCCGCCTGCGATAGGCGGGAGCGTCCTCTTCGCCAGCACCAGCCGGCACACTGTCTCAATTGGAGTCGATCTGGCAGGTCACTACAGAGGCACACAGCACGGCGCCCAGACCCAGTTTTCCAGCCTGGCATAGACGTCTTCGACGCCAGCGAGGTTGGGCAAAGAACGTTTTGAGGGTCTACGCGGCGCAGCGGCTGTTATCCCAGCATCACGGTTCTCATTTATGCATGGGCAAAGCTCCCAAAGGACGTGAGAATGAATCGAAGGACCCACGGTGGAGCTGCAAGGCAACACGCGCGTGTGGTTTCACTCGTAATTTCGTACATAATCAGAGGTGCTACATGTGTGGACGAGACAAGAACGGGCAGCCTGATCCGAATGGGCCCCCAGTACGAGATCGAACGCGTGAGCGAGCACCCTCGACACCTCGGCGGCGCGCAGATCGTGATGCCAAGACCGAGTCCGATGAGGTCACGCAGGCGCGCAAGGCACTGGCTTCCTTGCGTCGCTGCGGCTTGGGTGATGATAACGACCTCCTTATTCATGCGCGAGCTGCTGTCGCCACAGCGGAGGCAGCAGAACGAGCTAGGCGAACGCCAGACGACATGTCGCGGGCAGCTTTGGACAGGCAGAGCACTAAGACCCGCGAGGTGGAGCAGCTCACGGAGGCCGTCGCCAATCTCAAGTCGCAGTATGATACCAAGAATGACGAGCTCGCCGCTGCCCAGAGCGAGCTCACCGCTATCAAGATGGAGGTGGCCACGGCCCAGGCTGCGGTCATGGGTATGGCGAGGCCTACTGCGGAGACATCTTCAGTTGGCGATGCTCTTGCCCGCCTGCATCAAGTGGTTCAGGGGGGCCCTGCAGCGATGCAGACGGGCGGCAACCCACAGGCTGCGCTGGACTCCTTGGCCACGCATTTCACACAGCTACAGAGCGCCCGGCAGGCAATGCAGGCGCAGCATGATCCACAAGCAGCTCAATCTCAACAAGCTCAGCTACCTCTCGGTGGTCACGGCGGCGGCATGGAATGGGAAGATCCAGGCGCCGCAGCCCCAGGGACACCTGCAACTAACAGTTAGTGCAGGTCGCGTACTCACCATGCCCCGAGTGGTCCATGGCCAGGTTCAGTCGCTTGACAACCTCAGCCTAGCGGACCTCATGACTACTACCAGGCCGTGCAACTCGATTGCGGCCGTCACCTCTTCGAGCATTTTCTCTTCTGCTGGCCACCAAAGCGATGTGAGGCGTTTGGATCGGTCGTCACCTTCCCCAGTGCAGGCTCGTGCACCTAATACTTCGGCTTCGTTGTCTTCTGCTACGACGGCCAATACCTTATTAAATCCTGTGAGCGCTGAGTGGCAGGTTCAGATGTCGCCAACGTTGTCGGGCGCTGAGGCTCGAATAAATCCTGTGCGCTCCTCGCAGCGGCAGGTTCGGTCGCCGCAGGTTTTGCCAGGCGCGGCTCATGGCGCATCGCAGTCACTGCAGTCTCTGATATTGAGTGGCAGGAGATCGGTCACACCAAGCTCGCTTGATGGTTTCCCCGCGCGTTCGCCGACAGCGCCACGTGCGGGACACGTGCGGCGACGCGGACTCAAAGGAGGCAGACGACAGGACATGCGCATGGTGTCTCTCAATGGATCTGGATGGCCTCAGCCTCGCGATTTCCTCGAGCGCGTCAGGCACGCGAGTGTCGCAGCAGGACAGGAACTTCACCTGTCAGGCAATGCTCGCCTACAGGCCGAGGGGTGGCGCTACAAGCGGGGCTGGAAGGCCTTCATCACCGATTCCATTGCCACAGAGGCGGGCAAGCAGTCAGCAGGGGTTGGACTCTTCGTGCGCCACAGCATCGGAGTTGTCAATCTCAGCGCATTCGCCCCCGCGCATGAGATCATACCTGCGCGCTGCGTCGCCGTGCTCATTCAGGCGGGCATCAGGGGAGGGTTCATTGCCGCCTCGATTTATCTCGAGCAGGGCCTCGAGCTTGGTGGTGCCAGCACCCAGCGGCTAGCCAAGATCGGCTCCTGCCTTCGTTACTATTCGCTGCCTTTCATCGCTGGATGAGATTGGAATGTTGGACCTGAAGTACTTGCAGCTTCTGGCCTCGCTGAGCGATTTGACGCACGTATTGTCGCGACCTCTGAGGGCACATGCAGGGGCCCGTCTACAGGCAAATGCTCGACGGTTGATTTCTGGCTAGCTGGTGACTCGCTCGCAGGCGTGATGACAGACCCGGACATCGTCGGGGGTTTTCCGCCCAGGCCGCACTATCCGATTCAAGTTTGTATTGGGCCGAACGCTCGCGCGCAGCAAGTCTGTCGGCAGGCAGGGCCCGGCACCCTGCCGCAGAAGCCCAGCGGAGAGCCAGATGATCAGCTCGACGACGTTGACGACGAGCCTGCCTATGCGTCACGAGGGGACTCGTCCGTCAAATGGCCCTCTGTCATGGAGAATGATTCGGCTCTGGGCTTCGGTGCAGGTCCCGACCACCTACAGAGGGTTGACTCTATTGCTGCGGATCTTTATCGCGGCGCCGAAGACGAGCCCACGCCTATGTTTGAATTGAGCTCTCCCGGAGAACTGTAGCATGGTAGAGATGCTGGGCCTACATATACATACAGCACGGCAGGTGGAGCGCTCGCACGCATGCAACCAGCTGGCACGCAAATGTCACGGGCGCTACGAACGCTCCAGCTTCGAGTACATGATCTTAGACTGGCACCTGAGCGCGAACAGCACGCACTCATAGCTCGAGTATGGGGTCATATTATCAATTTTATGGGCAGCAGGGGGAGAGACGGACGGCTACGACGTTTTCTGCCAGCTGCGCCTGTGCACATCATAACAGACATGCTGACGAATATTGTGGAGCAGCCTCCGCAGTACATGTGCTTTATGTTACAGTTCCTCGGCGATTACCTTGGTCGCCTTGCTGAGTTTGAAGAGCGCCGACTCGGATCGGCGCGCGCCAAGTCTTTCAGTCCCTGGTTAAGGCAGTCACTTCGGAGCAAACCAAGAGTGGTCCATCGTTGGACCAAGCCCAGGGGTTGGCAGCTCTCCCAGGTTGACGCTGCCCTGGGACCATCCTCCTTTCCTGGGGACATCGTCAACTCTCAGAGGACGCCCTGGGGCAAGATCTGGGACGGCACCGACGCTTCGGAGGGGGGCCTGACCAGGAGCCCTCTCCAGGATTGTGAGGGGGACGGCATCTTCGGGGAGCTGAAGGGGCTCTTGGATTCTGGGCCGCGTTTTCCGCCACTGAGGATCTCAGAGCTTCGAAGTGCTGCAAAGAAGTTCCCGTTCGGCACCGCTGTTGGCGCTGATAGGTTCCGTCCCTGACATTGGTCGCTCGTGACCAACGGCTGCTTGTCCCTCATGGGCTACCTCCTGTATATGTGCGAGTCTTGGGGGGTATGGCCTACCATTACCAGTCACGTTCACATTATTTTACTAGCCACACCTACTGGAGGATACCGACCTATTGCATTACGAACCTCTCTCTACAGAGTATGGGGCAAAGCTAGGTTGGACTGGGTGAGGCGGTGGGCGGGGCAATTGGGTAGATCATATCTAGCCTTGGGCACGCAGAAGAGCACCACAGATGTTGCAGCACGCTTGCTTGTTCAGTCCGAGGCGACGTCTTCTGAGGAGGCGAGCACGGATGTTTCAATGCACGCCATCGTTGACATCGAGGAATGCTTCGACCGTGTGCCGTGGAGAGAGCTGGCTAAGGCCTGCTGAGATCACGGTTTTCCCGCGCGCTTGTTTATCCTGGCCTTGCGTATGTATAGCGCCCCGCGGCGCCTTGCTTGGGACGGGCGCTATGCTGTGCCAATATGGGCCTCTCAGGGGGTTTTGCCAGGGTGCCCATTCGCCATGCTCTGCCTCCAGTGTGTCATGCTTGCCCCGTTTGACGAGTTGCTTAACAGTACGGAATACATTAGCCGATCGTTAGACACCTACGCCGATGACATTACTGTTGCTATTACTGGCCCTGCATCACATATCGTGTCAGCTGCCTGCGTCCTGCTTAGGATGTTGGTTCGTGTTCTGGTCCATTTGGGGCTTCCACCAGCTAGACACAACATGACCATCACTAGCAGTCACCTCAGTCTTGGGCGCAAGGTAGCTAAACGACTCCAGGCTCTCGGGTATCAGTACGCGTCGGCACTCGAAGTCCTGGGTATTGAGGTGTGTTCTGGGAGGCCTTTGAAGTATACCCGTATTCGGAAGCGCGTTCAGAAGACAGGCAAGCGTCTCCCTCGGCTGCAACGCGTGCGCACAGCTTGGCATCTTTGCTCCATGTTTGCGAAGCAGGCATTGCCATCTGCTCTGCAGCACAGAGTTGGAGTGCACGGCGCTCCCCCGCCTTTAGTCGAGAAGATGAGAGGTATCATGCGTAACACATGGTATACTCAAGGTGCGACCACATCTGCCTGGCTAGCATCATGTTTACAAGGTTCTATGTACGAGGACACCCAGATAGCGTGTTGGACACAGCCTGTATTCCAATGGGCCCTACTATGCAGAGACACTCGCATGTCGCATGTACCCCTGTCAGCAATCATGGCATCGGCAAGTTTTCTGTATTCTTGGAGCCGAGAAGCCATGGCAGAGAGCATGCGGCACCACAGGCGCCATGTTGTTATCTTTGGGGTCGCTTGGATGGCGATCCACATCGGCATTATTTTTTTTATCACCGACAGGGGTGAGCGCCTTGATCTCCGAGTTGATGCTCCACTGTCGGTTCGCGACCTTGCTCGCACCGCTGGTGTCAGAAAGATGTGGACTATGTGGGCTGCCG